GGTGGCGCGGCGGGGATGGGAACGCCTTGGCTGGGGGCCGGGGGGGGGCTGACACTGTCCTTGTGCCCCCCCTACCCCCCCAGTTGTGCTCATCGGGGACTCCGGGGTGGGGAAGAGCAACCTGCTCTCACGCTTCACCCGCAACGAGTTCAACCTGGAGAGCAAGAGCACCATCGGGGTGGAGTTTGCCACGAGGAGCATCCAGGTGGACAACAAGACCGTGAAGGCTCAGATCTGGGACACGGCCGGGCAGGAGCGGTACCGGGCCATCACCTCAGCGTGAGTCCCCTTGCTCCCCACCCACGTCCCTCGCCCCGGGGTCCTGCCGTGACCCCGTCCCCTCGCCGGCCCCCAGGTACTACCGGGGAGCGGTGGGAGCTCTGCTCGTCTACGACATCGCCAAGTACCTGACGTACGAGAACGCCGAGCGCTGGCTGAAGGAGCTGCAGGACCACGCTGATGCCAACATCGTCATCATGCTGGTGGGCAACAAGAGCGACCTGCGGCACCTGCGGGCCGTGCCCACCGACGAGGCCAGGAGCTTTGCAGGTATCTCCCCCCTCTGTCCCACCCCGGGGTGGCTGCAGCTCCCGGCACCCACCCGAGCTCACCCTGTCCTTGCAGAAAAGAACGGGCTGTCCTTCCTCGAGACGTCTGCTCTGGACTCCACCAACGTGGAGACGGCTTTCCATAACATCCTCTCGGGTAAGGGGCACCCAGGAAAGGGCAAGGCGAGGGGACGGAGATGGTTTCAGGCATCGTGTCCTCCCAGCACCCGGCTGCAGAGCCTGGCCGGATGTTCCGGGGTGGGATCCTGCTCCCCGGGATGGGGAGATGTGGGCGTTTGCACCCCTGGAGTTGTGTGTTTTGGGAGGGGACAGGTCCCCCACTGAAATATATAAAGATTTTTTTTTTTCTTTTTCCTTTCCTCCTCTCTCTGCCGGCAGAGATCTACCGCATCGTGTCCCAGAGGCAGATCACCGGCCAGCCGGAGTCCGAGTTCGGCCCCACCACGACCATCGAGCCCATCCGGGTGCTGCCCACGCAGCAGGAGGGCAGGCAGGCTCCCTGCTGCCAGAACATCTGAGCCCCCCCCGGGGTGCCCCCCACCCTGAC